TCATCTTGCAGATAAATGTGCCAACGAGTTTAGCTTCACTCTCTTGATGATTTTCATGGCTCTTGAAGACCAAAGAGGAGGAAAGAAAAACAGATGGAAAGGGTTGTGAGCTTTTCTTTCTTAAAACCACCAAACTAAATTTATAGCTAATGCACAACCTGTGCTGTTTGTTTCTGTCCAGATTTTAGAACTTCTTGATCTGTATCAGCAAAAAGGAGCTCTGGGTCTGTCATGCACTTGAATGAGAACAAAACCAGTTTGAATATTTGAGTATTATGCACATTTATAGTATTTTCTGCTAAATTGATTGCCTTCTTCCACTAGATGGGGCTTTCTTCATTGATGAGTTGAACCATTACTTTTCCTTAAAATGCTTTTGTCTACATGCACATGCATGTAAGTGTACACGTGCCTCAGGTATCAGAGCCCTGAAATGTGTTGGTTTTTTTTTCCCCCCCTCGCCTTATCTGTGGGAGTGCAATTTGCAATTTTGGTGCTTTTCAGTAGAAATGGCCCAGTGCAACAGTTGGTGGTGTTAAGGCACCAGGATCATTTTCTGATGCAGTAAATTCTATAGCGTCCTTGTACGAGCACATCGATTAAATGTGATGGCCACTCTTAAATAGTGGGCTTGGTCGGATGGGAATCTGTCACCATTTGGTGGGTTTTAGGCTGTGAATTATACAGAAGGCAGAGAAGTGACACAAGCAGAATGAATACTCTGTGTAACTTCAGCTCTGCTCATAACAGTTTTGCAAACTTTTCATATGCTTCTCAGTGAGCATGACTTTTCAGATACTCCAGACATGTCAGGCTGGTTTCTCTTTTGCAGTGTAACAGTATTTTTTTTATTTTTCTGCAATGCTGCAAAATGTCTTTCCATTATTTAATTAGGTTAATAACAGGCATCTATGTATAGAATTTGGCAAATGACATTTCTGAAGACTGTGGATGATAAAATGTGTTTTTCCCACAAGTACTTGCTCATTATGTATTATTTGTGTCATTGCTATGTCATTGTCTAGTTACTAAGGTGCCAGGTTTTGGTTTTGATCTGGTACTTCCCAATTGCTGTCCTTATGAATTTCCAGGAACATCTATCTACTCCATACCTGTTTTTTAAAAGCTAAAAGTAACACATGTACTAGTCCTTCCAGCTACAAAATGATAATCCCTCTGAGCATGAACCTGCCCACCTGCCCTGCTGGGGAGGGATATCTGCCACCAGAGTTGAGAAAAGTAAGCTACCTCTCTTCAGAGCAACACAGTGGTCCCAAAGATGTAGTCATCATTCAGGTAGCAAAACAATTTCATTTATATAGTTTTACCTTAATGAGAACGAATGTCCAGCTGCCCTCATGTGGGTGCCATGGCTTGCTTTCCTCCAGGCAGGTTCCTGTTTTCCCTGTTCGATGCTTCACCTCTACCTGTTTGTCAGAACCTTCTCTTTCTTTTCTATCTTCCACCTCCCCACTGGGGAAGCTTACATAAACTCACTGCCACTATGTAAAGGAGAAATTTTAAGTATACAGACATTTTTTGGGCATAACCACAGGACCACACAGCCTTGGTTCTAAGTCCATCATACATGTGCTTTTCTCTCAGCTGCCCAGGCTGACAGAGTCGTATTCTACGAGGATTTAAAAGTGAGTTTTGATCCAGGTGCTTTTCAGTGTTCTTTGAAGTCCTAGACCGTCCATTTGAAAGCAAAATATCTGAGTATCCTTAGGACTCGAGGTTCAAACAATTTCTGACTTGAATATGTTAAAAAGGATAAATGAAACCTGGATTTTTTGCCTTTTTTTAAAAAAACATATGCAAATACATATTCTCCTTTATTTGAGATCATATTATTTTTAAAATTTTTTTCAGTTAATGCGTTGTTTTAATATGTTTCCGTCTGCTCTCCCGTATTTAAATCATCTTTCTATTTACAGTCAAGCAGGATGACAAAAAATAACTGTGGTCTCGTAGTGAATCAGTGGAATTTTCCTGCATTTCTCCCCTGATGACTCGTCTGACTCCTAGAGAGCCAAAATGCTTTTGCATTTTTGCTTGCAAGAATGCGGTGGTTTCCCTCCTGCATTCCTGTATTTTTCCCTATCTTTAAGTCTCCCTGGGATTTGATTTTGTTTACTAGACAAACAGTAGCTCCAGCGTTGTGTATCAGGTCACAGATCACTGGCTGAAATTAAGGTTGCTGCATGTCTTGTTGAGGGTGGGTTAAAAAAAACCCCACGGCCTCGTGACAGTTGATCTAAATGTCTGTATTTGAGGGGAAAGGGGTTCTAGATCTCCTCAGGGTTTGCATTGTCGATTGTGTTTGGTTACTGCTTTGACAGCTGTTAATTTCTTCTCTTTCTTTAATGAAGAAATAATAATTTTTACGCTGGCCCTCTTCTCTGTTTTTTGGCACAGGAAGGCAGTCGTTGCTTGTTAACGTTGAAGACTGGTGGTTGTTTTTTAAAACTCGCAATGTCCCCAATTACTGCAGTTTTGTATCCTCAGATAAAATACCTTTTCTGCGAGGAGTCATAAAGATATGCTGTAACAGCTCATCCTCCCATCCCCCCCTTCTCCTTCAGTTATCAACAGTGCGTCAGTGGAAATTTCCACCCTTTGCTAATGTGAGAGAAAGCACGAAGTTGCAAAGCAGCCTTTGGAGGAAAAAAAAAAAACCCATAACTATTGCCGTTTTAGGAACACAATGAAAAGCAGCATATGACTTGCAAGCAGAAATGAAATTAAATTCTGGAGAAGTGAGACTGAAACGGTGCAGCAAAGAGCATGGTTTGCATTACGAACCAATGCTCTTGCTAAGGGAAGGGGGCATGAAGGTGGTGGTGGATCACCAGTGGGAGTGTCAGCCCCCATCCTCCTTTCTGTTAGTTGCGACTGTGAGGGGATTTGGAAGACTTCTTCCCGAGGAAAAGAGTTAAGTGTCGTCTGTTAAGTTTACCAGTGGCTTTTAATGGCTTTAACAGAAAATACAACTTTCCCTTTTTAAAGGGTGTGCATCCCTCAGATGTTGCTCTGCAGTATTTCTAATGAATTGTCCAAGCTTAAAAACTGTTTCTCTGCCTAAACTTTTAACGGGGTGACATCTCTTAATTATAGAGGCCAGAAAACAGTAGGCAGTTCAATTTTCCAAATGTATTAAGCTGAATCCTGTTCCTTATTGAAGCCTGTGAGGATTTGAAAGGAGGACTGAGCCCACCAGAGTTCCTTCAGATCCTCTTGAGGCAAGTTATTCCTGTAACTCTTGGTAGCCCTGCTGCAGTCAGAGGAGCAGAACCTTTGTTGACGTGACCTGGCACTGGTCCCTTGGCTTCAACGATGCTCGGCCACAGCCTGCACCAGCTGGGCATCTGTTCTGGAGGACTCATTGCTTCAGCATGAGCTGCGGGGAGATGTTTTTGTCCTAAGACCCCTCACATACAAGAATTCAGTGCTTCGGTCTGGTCTTTCTGAAAAAGACTCCAGAGCTGAATTGTGACTATTAACATAGAGGTCTGTGTTAAGAGTTTCAGCATTGGATGTCTGGCTAAGGAGAAGCTTCTTCACCATGTTTTCCACGGGTGGACTCCACCCTTGTGCAGTAATCCAGCATGTGCTATTTGAGTAATTTCTGGCCTGATGGATCTCTTCTGTGTGTGATATTGTTGGTGTTACTTAGTGTAACACATTTAGTTGGACGAAAATGAACTCTGTGCAGCATGAAGAACATGAGTGTCTCTGTTGTTGATGACCTCATCTGCTGTTCAGACTCCCACTTCTGGTCTCGGGGACTTACCATTCAAGATTACCTTTACGAAGATGGACTGTGAAGTGCGATGCTTATGCTATAGTTGACTTAGTAAGAATCCATGCTTCTTGTGGAACAAAGTCCTCTCTGTTACGTACAGTTGTTAAATCAAACAGATCTTGGTCCTGCTTGGATAATATGACTTCATTTACAGGATATCACTTTCAGGTTACAGTGATGCTTCGTGAGGAGGTGTACTTGAGAGGACTAGGAGAAAAGGGAAGCTTTAATAAGATGATGCGTAAAGATTGAGATGAAATAGCTAGGTGGGAAGTGCTGTGCTGTGCATTTAGCCTTTAAATTACCTTGGAAACGAGGTGAGTGGTTCGTTCTCTTCAGCACGCTTTCTGAGACAGTTGCAGTGTCTTTTTACTATACTGTAGTTAGTGCTATGCCAAATGCAGACAAAGTAATTAAAAAGTATTCTGGTTACAGCTCTGTTGACAATGCTGGTTCATTCACAGCATTTCAAGGGAGGAGGGATGGCCAGTGACATGGCTCACTCATTTTTCGCATTAGTGTGATGGCTGGCACTAAGTTGCTCATAACTTGCGGGAAAAGCAGACCTGATGTTGCTGATGAATTTAAGGTACATGTCATATTAAGAGATGGTATGTGAATTTGCATATCTGAGATTAAGTTAGTGTGTAGTCATGTCCCTTGTCTGAAATGGGGCCCATGAGGTGCAGTACACCTCTGAGGGTACTGGAGTTTTCCATTACCATTCAGCTCCGAAGCGGACCTTTAAAGGAAGAATTGTGCCTGTATGTATATAAGCTTGAGGTGTTTCACACTGGCATCTGTTCCCCAAAAAAATGATGTCGTGAATTTGAAGGAGGAGGATGCATGTTGTAACTGGAATGAATGTGCCACCCTACCTTTTTTTTAAGACTATTCAAATCAAGGTGTGGAAATGAATGAATAGGTACAAGAAGAGTAAGCTCTCTTTAATCTCCTTGGGTAAGCAGTGCTGTACAACAAAAAAAAGTTCAGGCTCAGCCTGTTTCAATTGAACTTTTCTTATTTGAAATCAAGATAGTACCGAGCTTTTATTTCAAACAATTCTGTTACCAAGATGTCAGAAAAAATTAGAAAGTTTAATTTAAGAAAGCTCATAGAACAGTTACTTGAATTAACGTTGTTGCAGTACAGGTATTTTTTTTTTTTATTATTGTGTGTATGTTTCTCGTTGCAGGTATTTTTTGATAGACTTAGAAGGCCCACCTTCAATTGTATCGACCATGATGGATCATTTAGGACGTGATATTGATGTAATTAAACGTGCTTTTATAAAGCATCCTGTATCAAAGACAGAAGAATGCAGTGGCATAATCCCAGTCGACTATGAAGATAAACTAATTGCCAAGAAGAAGTGAATAGCGTGTTTGAAACTTTTTAAAAGTCTTTTTTATTCCTGCTTTGGAAAACAATTGTGATAACTAATGTCCATCAAAAATAATCAGTTTTGACCATGTGATATGTGTGGTATAGTACACTATCTTGAGTTATTGTAACATGAGGATTCTTTTTGTTTAAAATAATTTGAATAGACAATCTGTATGCTTATCTTGATATTTGACAGCTTTAAAAATTGATTTTCTTTTCTCTTTGAGAGTTACATTGATAATGAAGATTTGTCCATCATCAGAATGCTAAAAATAGCATTCTCTTCCGAAGACAGATTACTTCAGAATATGTATATTTACATAAGAGATTAAGAAGTCTACAGTGTAAATATAGCAGTGTAAGATGTGATTTGTTGGAGGGTGGGTTTTTTTGCTTGTTTTTGGAAAAAGGTAATAAAAGCATGATTAAAAATAAAACTTGACTCATTTTTTTTAAAAGCAGAAAAAGTACAAGAAAAAATAACTTACACTGCCAAAAGACACGTCATACTTATTTCTTTAAGGTAATAACTGTTCAAAGTACAGGTAAAAAATTATTCTCTATAAAAAAGACTTCCAGGTGGCATAGAGAATAACCATGCTTATGTATGAACAGAAGAATAAAAGATGCTTTGTTTTACCATCAGCTAGACCCAGATGGACATTTCAAACTGAGAAAAACGTCAGAACAAAGGGTCTTAACGTACATTCTGTCTATTTGCTCTTTCGAAAACAGGAGGAAAATGTAATGCATGTGAAAGATGACATTAACGTAGTATGACCTCCTGCAGGTCGGGCACAAATTCAGTAGTTTCCAGAGGATCTCCATATTTCCCTCATGCTACTGAAGGAATGCACTGGCCGTTTCTCCTTCTGAAGAAACATGTGTATATAGTTATTTCTGTAGAAGAAAGTAAGTTGACATGGATACATTATGCACAGAGGATATTCTTTACCTGAATGAGCTTCATCCAGAAGCTGTCGCCTCTGGCACTCCAGCGTTGTGTGTTGCCAAAGGGAAGGCCAGTTAGGAGGCCGAGGGCAGATTCCCAGAGGTGATAGGTCTCTTTGGTGTGACTGCTCTCTAGTGTGCTGTTTCATCACGAGTTTGTCTTTTTCGTGGAGGTATCAGGGTCATTTATAGGGGGGGAATGCTGCTTTTTTCTTTGGATGCAGAACTTTGGTGGAAAAAGAAACCAATGTTTCTTCTGAGTAACTTTTTTAAATGAAAAAATGCATTAGAAAAAGGAAAGAGGAAATTTTCTTTCTGTAAATCTTTATTTAGGAGGCATGAATGTGTGTGGTTTTGTGTTTAATTTTTTTTCTCTGGTGTTTTTTCTGTTTTTAAACCTGCATTTCTTTTAAGAGCGGGCTGTCACATTTTGTCTCTTCATTCCTAGAAAAGATGTTGGAAGAATAGAGGGAATGCACTACACGCTTACTGAAGCTGGATCTATGTTAGGTGTGCTTTTATTTTTGCAGTTACTGCCAGCTTCGATCATGTGGTTGCTGTCTGCACTGGTGCCTGCTCCAGGCGGGGCTTGTCTTATCAATGATTTTTGCTTGTAGGACAGACCTTCCTTCCATACAGGTACGAGCTTAGCGAGGAGGAGCTGTAGGTTTGTTAAGTCTATGGTATGAGTTTGGCTCCCTGAGCTGCCCTTGCTGGTGGGCTGCTGAAAATTCAGCGTAGAATTTTTTGCAGTGCAAAAAGCGCAAACTACAAGTCGGGAAATACAGAATGCTTTAAAGAATGTGTTTTACTCAAAAGTCTCTCAGAAGCTTTTCTGAAATGGAAAGTGAACAGAAAGCCTGTAGTTTAGTCACTTTGCCTCTGGCTAGGACTTTAAGCCTTAGATTTCATTTGGGTAGAAAGGAAAGCTTTCCACTTCACAAAATGAAAAAGATTGTCAACAGAGGCTGTACGCATATAAATGTTTTATGTTTGTCTTTATTCAGTTTCCTTTAGCATAGTATTAAATTTTGCATTTAATTTGTTCCAATTTCTAGGTTGATGCCTGAATTCAATAGGAAAATCCTAGATGCTCATTAGAGATGAGCTTGTCAGGTTATTATTAAATATGAGACGTTATTTGTTGCGAATTAGGACTTTTGGTCAGTCAGATGTTCATGCCCCTCTTTTCTGTGGGGCCTGTTTCTGATCTTAACAGAAGATTGATGGATGTCAAGAGCAGAAGACTTGGGCTCCTGAGTCAGCTCATCCCAAGAGCGGATCAGCAGTAGCACACTTCTCGGAGCCTCAGCTGATCCACAAAAAAATACAGCAGTGCTGGCTCTGAAGGAAAGTGGTCTCCAGCAGGCCACAAAACAAGGAGTAAGGTGTTACCAAGCCTGTTTTCCTGTCTTCTGAAGTACCGAATGTGCAGAGGGGAGTGACTGAAAGTTGTCTTTGCCTTTGGGCTAGAAACACTGACCACTGAAACCAGTGGCCACGAGCAGAGCTGTGCTTGCCGGGCTGGTGCGTGGTTACGTAAGCACTGGTGCTTTCTCAGCAATACGATTTATTTATAAAAGGTCTGCTGAATAGCTGGCTCTCAATTGGATGTACTATTTTCTTCGTAATTGATAGTTTCTAATATGAATTTTTTTTTTTTTTTTTTTTTAATAGGGGGTAGGGTGGAGCAGGCTAAGGAAGGATCTTGGGTTGCAATTTGTTTAGCCCAGTCAGCCACCCAGACTGGTAGTTAGCTATTTTGGGAAGCTAATGCATAACTGTGTGCTCCTTCTCTCTCAATAGCTGTAAACGCAGGACTGGACGCTGGAATCTATCAGAAGATTTAAACAGTTCTGGGTTTGAGCAAATGGTCTTGAGTTGTGCCATGGAAGAAAGCGAGTAACTGTACCCTGAATGGCCATAAATTCTCCCTGCAGAGGAAGGGGAACCTTAGCATGTCTTTCAGATGTGTTTACCTTTTTGATTGTCGATAGCCAGTTTATCCCACTGGGCTGTAACCAACTCTTGATCTCCAAGAATAAAATTTCAGGACACTGTGGTGTTGCTGGAGAGTCACAAGAGTCTGTGTAGTCAAAGCATGGCCAAATACCTAAAATGTCAAACTCCATTTGCATTCCCAAAGGTCTAAACAGTTTCAATACCAGTACTTTAAATTTTGTTTACCAAAGAATCTGATAGTGAAGCTCTTCAACCCTTCCTTAGATTATGTTCCCAAGTGTATAAAATAAGTAGTTTTGTGCTTCTAGATACTCTGGGGTTTTTTGTTTGTGGATTGTGAGGATACACTGAGTTGGTTAAGTATTAAAATAACATCTGGCAGTTCTCCTGGCTCAGGAATGTTTTCTGTGTCTTAACCTTCAGCAAACAAACGAGCACAAGTGGTTTTATGGTGAAGATCTTAGGTATGCCTTCAATCACTCCGTTTTCCTGACTTTTTTCTCTTTCTCAGCTGAATCTTGCACTCTGGAGGTTTCTTCAGCAGACTGAAGGCTCTGCACCCTCAAAGCATTCAGCACTCTGCTTGCAAAGCACTCGCTGTGGCTGCTGGCTTGACCCCAGGAGGTTTGTGCGTGCAGTGATTTGCTCCCATGGACCTAGAGCCTGTGCGTCTTCTGTACATCTGACTAGTCTGTCAAAATCTTGGTTATTGATAGCGTAAGCTTAAAGAATTTCAGGATCCTCAGTGTCAGCAGAATATTTCTGTCACTAAATGTTTTAATGCCGCTCTGAAAATCATCTTTCAGCTGGACTTCTACTTAGGAGTAAACTGTTGGAGCTGCAGGCTGAGCTGGGTACAACAAATGCGCAGGGCTGTGTTGCTTTGGAAATCATCCGAGGAGCAGTTAGAATGGCAACAGTCGACATGACTCATGGGCTCCTGCTGTTGAATCTAGGCTTTGATCACTGAAACACATCACCTGTCACTTAATGAGATCAGTTTCTGTTTAGTAAGTTGCTACACTCTGTTATGAAGGAAGGCTTTGAAATTCAAAGCAGTCCTGTTGGAGTCATAGAAATTTCTCTTAAGACGTGACCAGTCTGCTACACATTATTTCTGCTCCGAGAGGCTCCTAGGATCTGTCCAGCACTGCCAGTGTCTCCAGCACAAACGTTCAAGAGTCATAAGGCAAACCCCCCAGATATTTTGAACTCGTGGCGTGTAATCATGGCCTTGAAAATCATGAGTATTGTTTAAAACATGAGGTTCATTTTATTGGCCTCTTAGATTTTATGATTCACTTTTTTCAAACTTTGTTGCTGGCATGATTTTCACATAACGTTTGACTGAAGAGCTCTCAGAAAAACACAAGCTCTAGCAAATGAGATGCTTGATAAATTCATTGCGACTGGTGCCATGTCCCTCCACCCACTGAAACAGAACAAGGGAAATTAAAAAGGGAATCATTATTGTGTCCTTTCCTAGAATTCTGAGGTTCAGATAGGATAAAAGTGAGAAATGACGTGGAGCCAAAACATGCATTTTCTCAACTGCTGCACGAAGGGAAAATTAAAAATGTGTCATTCCCCGTGACCTATGTAATGTGTTGCTTTCTTAGTGCCGCTTCAGCAGACCTTTAACAACATGCAGGCTGCAGCTCGTGGACTACCTTAGGCTAATGCTGCTCCTCTTTGCACAGCTATTTGTGCTACGCTGCGGAGGAGTGGGAGAGTCACCACTTACTGAATGCTGGTTAAGAGGGGGAGTGATGCATTGACAGATTCCAGTTCTGGAGTATTCAAGGTTGCCTTCTAAAAGTGTTTTCAATGAGAGGTAATGCTCACTGTAAACCTGGGAGAGTTTTCATCCCTGTTATTTTTGCACTGTGCTTAGGCTGCCAAATCAACCTTGTTTGGAGAATGCTAACTGACACAGAAAATCTGGCTTATTAAAATCTTCAACACATTTATGTTAAGGATAATTTTGGGGGATAGTGTGGCTCCACTGAATCAGTAAGAGGCCTCTGGCTGAGTTCTGCAGGAGCAGATGTATCCTGACAGTACGATGCACTCTCTCCCAAGCGGAATCCCTTAGCCACCTTAGTGGGGTTTGCAGACTGCTCAACTTTTGTTGATAAAGATTGACACGATGCTTCCACGCCGGGGCTGGTTGGTGCATCTTGGAGAATGCCTAATGCACACAGGGCTCTCACAGAGCTTCTGACTGTGGTAATGAGGGAAGTTCAGCTCGATTCTCTGCCGAGGGCTGATGTGAAAGTTACATGCAGGGAGAAAAAGGCATTAATTTTGAGTTTCCCTTCAGAATTCACCTTGGAAGCAGCAGTGGGGTGAGGCAGGGTGGAGAAGGCTTGTTGCATACTCGGTGTTCTCACAGGCTGTCTGCTCCACTGTTTTTTGTATGTGATGGGCAGAATGAAA